TCTTCAGCTCAAGGCTAGCACTCTACCACTTGAGCCACAACACTACTTCCGGCTTTTTGCTTATGTGGTGCTGAGGAATCGAACTCAGGGCCTCATGCTTGCAAGGCAAGTGCTCTACCACTGAGCCACCTTCCCAGCCCCAGGAACCATAACACTTTTAAATTTTTCCTAAAGCTTTACAAATTAATTCCTGAATCTCTAACTGGCAAGGATAAGAACGAAATCTAGATATTTTTGGTTACTTTAATACACTCTTGGCAAATGGGCAAGAAGGTAGGCAAACTTCCTCTGCATGTGTAGCGAACACTTGGGGGACCCTGTCTTTGGGGTTGGGGTGGGGAGTCAGAGGATTTTCTTTTGGAAAGAAGCTTCTCTGGTGTTTGGGACCATGTTGAACTTGTCGAATCATTGTTTCTATTAACGTCCTATAAATCAGTATGTATTATCAATGACATGGCACAAAAAATGTTACTATTCACATTCACAAATCTTTTCTTTTGCTTTTTGTTTTTTGTTGGTCTGAGGCTTGAACTCTGGGCCTGGGCTGTCCCTCAGCTCTTCAGCTCAAGGCTAGCACTCTACCACTTGAGCCACAGCGCCACTTCTGGTTTTCTGGTGGTTAATTGGAGATAAGAGTCTCATGGACTTTCCTGGCCAGGCTGACTTGAACCACAGTCCTCAGATCTCAGCCTTCAAAGTTGCTAGGATTACAGGTGTGAGCCACCAGTGCCCAGCCACATTCACAAATCTCTTTCTCCTTTCCCTTCCTTTTCTTTCCTTTCCCTTCCTTTCCCTTCCCTTCCTTTCTTTTTCTTTCTGTGTGTGTACTGGTCCTAGGGCTTGAATTCAGGCCATGTCTCTGAACTTTTGTGCATAAGACTAGTTCTGTACCACTTGACTACACCTCCCCTTTTGGATTTTTAGAGGTTAATGAGAGATAAGAGTCTCATGGATTTTCCTGCCTTGGATTGGCTTCAAACTGTGATCTTCAGATCTCAGCCTCCTGAGTAGCTAGGATAACAGGTGTGAGCCACTGGTATCTGGCTTACAAATCATTAAAGTCAAATCTAAACCTAAGCTGTGCAGATTGTGTATCTATATGGAGTATAAATAAATGTACCTCTTATAAGGGAACTTAATTAAATTGGCAGTACTACTGATTGATATCAGTTAACTGAGATTCAATAAAGCAGAGTGCATCAAGACAGAGGTTTGAACACAGAGCCTTGCATTTCTTAGGTAGATGCTCTACCTAGGAAATAATGTCAAAAGTAAAACTAAGTTTTTAAAGAAATACTCTTAATAGGTGATGCTGGTGGGAAAAGAACTGGTTACCCTTGATAAAGGAAAGGAAGTAAATAAATTAGTTCTAATTATTCTATTAAAGCATCTGTAGTTCCTTCTTTCCTTCTTCCTTCCCTCCCTCATCTCCCTCTTATCTTCTTCTTCTTCCTTCTTTCCTTCTTCCTTCCCTCCCTCATCTCCCTCTTATCTTCTTCTCCTTCTCCTTCTCCTTCTCCTTCCTCCTTCCTCCTCCTCCTCCTCCTCCTCCTTCTTCTTTCTTCTTCCTCTTCTTCTCCTTCTCCTTCTCCTTCTTCTTCTTGTCTTTGTTATTATTTTTTGGTGGGAATTAAATCCAGGGACTCACACATGCTAGGCAAGTGCTCTACTCATAAATTTTGATCTTGAGAAATCACACAACCAAAATAAATGAGGAAGAAGCTTGACTAATTCTTGGTTTGAAGAGATTCCAATGGTTTTTTTCTTTAAATTATACATAAAAATTGTATATATTTATTGGATTCTATGTGACGTTTCACACATAAATATACTGGATAGTGTTCAACATACAAAAAACCTTATCTCTGTCCTCAAACATTTACTTTTTTTTTTTTTTTTTTGGTCAGTCCTGGCGTTTGAACTCAGGCCCAGGGCTCTGTCCCTGAATTTTTGCTCAAAGCTAGCACTCTACTACTTAAGCCATAGCACAACTTCTGGCTTTTTTAGTGCTTAATTAGAGATAAGAATCTCACAGATTTTCCTGCCTGAGCTGACTTTGAAAGCTATCCTTAGTTCTCTGCCTCCTGAGTAGTTAGGATTACAGGTGTGAGCTACTGGCATCCAGCTACATTTACTAATTCTTTCTGGTGAAAAAAAAATTTTTAACTCTTTCTTCTAGATACTTGTAAAATACTATACAGTATCACTATGGTCAGATACCAAAATTTTCCAAGTGGGGCAGGTAACACACAGTATTCTGGTAACTTCTATAATGTTCTGATGGCCTCTGGAACAAAGGGGATCTACTTCTTACTTGGGTGCCTCCTCTACATTGGTGCTTTTCTTCTCCTACCACCCTCCCTCCTCTCTAATTAGGTTCCACTTCCAATTTTCAGTGAGTTCATTAGAAACCATTTAGTTGTCTTCAAAACAGCAATGTCAGAATTAACTGCTACCCCCCCCCCCCCCCCCCCCCCCGCCACACACACACACCTTTTTTTCCCCCTAACTAAATTTCTACTGGAGTGAGTTAGCTAATCTGAATATTTTGAGGAGAGACTTTAGGTAAAATGGTGTAAATAGTGCTCACTTTTAATTGGCCAATTTAGATGGGGCTGGTAAGGGTGAGGATTGTTATTTTGTGTTTATTAACTTCCTACTAGCTGCTGGGTACTTCTGTATGAACTTTCATGGACTACATAACTTAAGAATCTTGGAAAGCAGGTACCATTTCTTGATCTCATCTTACAGTTTCTGGGATGTGGCATAAACCTACAGTGCAAACAGGGGTCAGCAAACTAGGGCCCTTGGGTTTACAGAAAAGTCCACATTCATGCAGGGTTGGGAAGCATCCAGCTCTCAGGCCACATAAGGCTTGGGAAATCCTTTGTTATGTGACGGGGCAGAAATGTGGTGCTTCCACTGACTGTCCTGTCTGCCTGTACCGAGAATTTGGGATGGCCTAGAAATGATGTTATAATATCCAACGGCCCTTGATGGGAAAGAGGCCCTCCACCCTTGGCTACCTTTGAGCTCTCATGGTCAATCTGTGACCCAGAGGACTGTCCCTCCCCCCCCCCCCTGCCAAAGTCTAAACTCTTTACTCTCCCGCCCTGTTTGATCATTTAGACCCTTTTCCAATAGCACTTATATTGAACATTTCTTAGAACAAAAAGAAATAGCTGTACTTCTCTCAGCCCCTCCATTATCTTATTTTCACCCAAAGTGTGTTATCAACCAGCCTCACTGGTTGGAGGAGTGTGTTCATGGAATAGCAGTTCAGTAACTAGACATTGCTGTTTTTAGTAAGAAAAGCTTCTAAGAAAATAAGACAAAAATAGCAGACACCAAGGAGAGCTTTAATAACCCTAAGTTTTCTGAGAGGTTGTAAAATGTCTTGGCTACTTCACAGATATTTCTCTCTCTCTCCCTCTCTCTCTTGCTCTCAAGTACGAGTGACATCATTGTTGGATTTCTTTTCCGAACTAGTCTACTTTATTCTACATTTGGTACCACATATTGTTTTGGTTGAGCATCAATTGTCTTTTCTATTTTTACTGGGAAGTTACATCATGACTATTTTTAGGACATGGTGTCTGGTTCTGTCATTGGTGGAGGTCAACACAAGATCACACATTAGGATTTTTTTCCAAAGCTGTAAGAATGTATGTATTTAGTAGAGAATATGTGTTCATCAACAAAAATTCCACTAAAACACATTTTAGATTAAAAGTCTAAAATAGGCAATACTTACGAACAAATGAAAGAATTTTGTCTATTGCTAGGGAGCAAAACTAGTATATAGCTCTATAATACACATCTCTGCCTTTGAAACCTTTTCTTTTCTGGGGGACTTGAAACTAGGGTCTTGCTACCACTTGAAACAGGTCACCATTCCAAAACGTTGATATTCTTACTCATAAGCAAGTCTTAATTAACACTGGCACTCCACTGCTCATTCTTACTTTATGCTAAAAAAACCACCTACTTATAAATCAAAGTCAAATTAATAACTTAATTTTCAGACCTAAGCACATGAGCTAAAGTCAAGTCGCATAAAACAATTTGTGCGGGCTAGGAAGGTGGCTCAGTGGTAGAGCGCTTGACTTGCATGCATGAGGCCGTGGGTTCGATTCCTCAGCACCACATAAGCAGAAGAAAAAAAAAGCCGGAAGTAGCGCTGTGGCTCAAGTGGTAGAGTGCTAGCCTTGAGCTGAAGAGCTGAGGGACAGCGCCCAAGCCTAAAGTTCAGGCCCCACGACCGGACCTAAAACAATTTGCGCAAGCCTACTGTAATTACAACAGTTAATGAAAATCTTAGGTAAATGATTACTATAAGCGTGAAAAGAAAACAAATGCCCATATATTTTTTTTTCTTACCCAAACTCCATACAATAGAAGGTTGAACACATAACAGTAGCCCTGGGCTTATCTGTGCATTCAAGTCACCAGGAAACTTCACACAAAGCCACCCTAGAGGCCATGTCTCAGGCCAATAAACTCATTTTCTGGGGGGGTTGGCACCCAAGTTATAAGTAGTTTGGAAACCCCTAGTCACAAGAAAAGAGCTGTGGTTAAGCAAGAGCTAATGAGTTTGGTCTGATACACCTGGCATCTATTCACCGGGAAGCCAGGAAGTCTACCCCATGCTCACCAGCTCTGCCAGCTTCAAGATACTCTGGAGAGTGCTGTGTGGGATTTCTGCAACATACTGGGACATGTGCAAAATCAGAATCCTTGCTCCTGACAACTGATTTATTGGCGCAAATTGAAAGCGGTGAATTCGCTCAGGAAGCATGGGCCTAGGTGTCCCTTAAGCTACGATGTGTTCAAACACTGACTTTTCCTTCTGCCCCTTAGGAAATAATACAGATACTCATCAACCCAAAGGGCTTCACTTTGCTCTTTTTTTTTTTTTGTAAGGTGAGTTATACTTCTTAATAAACTTGTAAAAAAAAAAAAAAAAAACAACCAAGCAAACCAGCCAAAGCTTGCCTTACCTCCACAATGCTTTTTAAGTCTTGCACGTAAGTCCTTTCAGTGTCCAGAATTTCCCGCACAACTCTGTCTGCGTAGAGCAGCTTAGGACTGGTGGCCAAGTCTGTGGTTGTTTTGGGGGTCCCGGTGGCATCCCCCTTCCATGGGGTTCTGGGCTGCCTCTCATTGTCTCCATCCATGTTCTGGGGCCCAGTGGGGTTGTCCCTCAGCAGCTCACTGCTGGAAAATGGGCGGGCTGGAATCAGTTCCAGTTTGATAGCCCCTGCTTCCTTATCCTGGGGAAACAAGCCCAAGTGGCTATTTGAAACCAAAGTCATTCTGCTGCCAAAGGAACCATGGCTGTCCCGGGAAGAGGCCGAGGACGACGTGGAGCCGAAGCTGACCGGGCGATCGCTGTCAGAGAGCTCCATGGTCTTGGGTGCTGGGGAGCTTTCGGCTGTGAGCTTGGGCTCAGGATCTTCACTTACAGCTGATGGTACTTCCGGACGCAATCGGTGCCCATCTACAATGCATGACAGAAAAGAAATGGAAATGACAGGATGAGCAAGAAAGGCGATCAAAACCCAGCCTGAAGTACAGACTCAAGACCAAAACAGTGCAAGTGAGTTGTAGGAGAAAAGATAGGCTGAGCTGCAAAGTCAAAGCTCCGAATGCATGGCCTGCCAGCCTTCTGGAAATGCAGCCTCAGGATCTGCCCTCGACCTCCCAACCTTGAACTTTCACCAGTACAGATCCTAGTGTGATCCAGCGGACAATTCAAGGAGCTGGCCATGCAGTGACGTCTCCACGTGACCATGGAGCAACTCGCTTAGTTCAGAACTTACTAATGTGAAGCCCACCTGTGAGGGCAGGAGGAATAGATCACACTAACAAGCACCACAAGTGGTTATGATGGCCAAAAACGACCTGGTGTAAGAGAGAGAAAGAGCAAGAGCAAGCGAGCACGTGTATGTGCTGGTACTAGGGCTTGGCCTCAGAACTTGAACCTGAGCACTGTTCCTTGGCGTTTTCCCCTCAAGACTGGCATCTTACCACTTGAACCACAACTCCACTTCTGGCTTTTTGGTGGTTAATAGGAGATGAGAGTCTCACAGATTTTCTTACCTGGACTAGCTTTGAACCTGGATCCTCAGACGGCAGCCTCCTTAGTAGCTGGGATTATGGCGCGAGCCACCAGCGCCCGGCTCCTGTGTGATTCTTACGGAATTTTGACAAGTACTGTTGTAGGTTTTAAGCCTTTCCATCATAATTCACAGCATTTTAAGCAGGATTCCCAGAAGCCCCAGGCCTTAAGGGAGGCAGAGCACTCTCTTCAGGCTTCACGAGCTCACAGCATTAAAGGAAGTGCAATGGAGATGATGGTTTTCTAATACTGGTCATCAAAAGCTGATGTAGTAAAACGTATGTCCTGTTTGAAATGCACCAGCTCACTTCAATGTTTCTCTACATCTCTGCTTAAAAACTGGTATGCTACTTGTGGTCTAAATAGAGCTATACTACCCACAAGTATGCCTGATGAAGGAAAACACTCCCCAAGTAGAGCCGTAACATCACAATGTAAACTACACAGTAACTATATGATCTAAATTTGGAGAAATGTTGGGAGCAATAGGATTGTGAATGTTAATACCAGTTAAAAAATGTCACTTAATATTCATAAAAATTATTCGGGGCCTAAAAAGACCCTCCACAAAGAGTCAGCCTTCAGGAAGTATTGCTGGTTCTGGGGCTTGAACTCAGCCTCACACTCACAATTAGCTTGTTTTGTTCAAGGCTGGCCCTTCACCACTTGAACCATACCTCCACTTGATTTTTTTGCTGCTTTTGAATGTGATCCTCAGATCTTGGCCATCTGAGTAGTTAGAATTTTGGTGTGAGCTACTGGTGCCTGTACCAGAAACTAGTTTGATGAAACATTACGGTTGTAATCTTCACTTATATGGCAAGCTCAACACCTCCCTGAGCCTGAATAATAATGAGATTCCAGGTCACAAACAATAGACTTTTTTGATAAAGAATGTAATTAATGAAGAAATTCCCTTCATTTGGGGAAGTTACCTTACTACCAAAGTCCATGTTTGTGGGTTTTGTTAAAAGAAGAAGGGAATGAAACATATTTGAAAGGTTAGAATAAGAATATAGATTAATGATTACTTTTCAGCAGAAATATGAACTTATAATAAGATTGACAATCAAGATCAAATAGTAGCAGTACTTTCAGGATATAAAGAAGCCACTGATATGAATTAGTAGAAAAGCGGGTAGTAAGGGAAATGAGGCTTATATAACACGCAGATGGCAGAATAAGTTGATGAACCCAAACCAGCCTAACACCAAAATGAATCAGGGGCTACAAAAGAATGAGGAAGCTGGACATCTGTTAAGTAAGGACAAAGGAACAAGGAAGTAAGGACTGGACATTACATCTTTAGTGCCTTTACTATATAGAGTTTAGAAAGGAGATCCACCTATCAGAAAGCCATCTTCCAGGATCCCAATTCTCTCTAAGTATCCCAAGGCCAATCTCTGAAGACAGTGCAAGGTGGCTAAGATGGACTGAAATACTGTCTTCCCGCGGTGTATCTATGCTTCATGTTCTCTTCACCCTTCATGTTCCTTTTCAAATAAACTTCCCTATCACTTTTTCTTTGTTCACATACTGCCTGAATTCTCTTGCTGGACACAAGAACCCAAGGCCCTAAATGTCTGCTAACACCATCAAGTTGTGTCCTTCAACATACTGACTTCTTTTAGATTATATTGATTGCAAATATTTGTGAACAATTATAAGGCAACTATTAAATTTATGACTACAAAATTAAGTTATTCACTCTGAGTTAACAAGAAGGAACAGCAAGAAAAGGGGCCGGAAATGAGCAATATATCAGCATAACCACCAGCACATGTGCTGAGTTTGCTGTAAACTTTTAAAGGTTTTTCAGTATTCCATTTGCTCTGTAACAATTTTATGGCCTATAAACATGGATTGGCTAGTAGTTAAAACACACTTGACCTCAAAAGCTTGATCCAACTTGAGTGTGGCAAAAATCCAAGACACAGCCATGCATCAGTGCATACATAGCTGTGCTCATGACCAGGTGAAGAACGTCTCGAGCACATAAAATAGGAGCAGATGCAACCAGGTTCTCTTCTCAATGGCATATACCACACCTGTGACCTTGGAGCGGCTATCACTGTAGGAAAGGTCACTGCCTTGAGAAGAAGATGAGGAATCTTTAAGATCCCATGGTCTAAGGGCCCAGTGAGACTGTGATTTAGGACTAAATGTAAACTGGATACACTAAGTGTAAAAGGCCAGGACTTCTGGAAAGATCGAGATCAAACAACCTACCACCAACCATAGAGCTGGATCTACTAGTTTCTAGGACCACTTCTGATTTCCTAGCTAGGCAAGAATACATCTTCTCTCTGGTCTAGAAAATGTCATTCACACAGTTGCATAATCCATAGCACTATGTTCCTTATTAGGATTAGTGAAAATGAGAGAGACTCACTTCTTCCTTATCATTCCTTTTCTCTATCTATAGTCTCTCTATGGTAGACAAATTTCAATGGAGGGAGTAAAGAGGAATAAAATTGGTTATAGAAGAGACTACACTGGGAAGCTAGGCATGATGGTACCTTTAAAAATACTGTCAAAGCCAAGTGCAGGTGGGTCAGGCCTGTAACCCTAGCTACTCAGGAGGCTGAGCTCTGAGGATCGTAACCAGCCCGGGCAGGAAAGTCCATGAGACTCTTATCTCCAATGAACCACCAAAAAACTGGAAGTGGTACTGTGGCTCAAGGGAACTGAGGGACAGCACCCAGGCCCTGAGTTCAAGTTCCATGACAAAAAAATACTGTCAAAGGTGGGAAAAAGTGAGCTATGAAATGGGTCCACAGGCAATCCCTTTATGGGAAGATTTTTAACTAGCAATATGAATTGGGTCCGGTGCCTTTCCTGTACTTGAGATGACCGGGACCACTCCATTCTGAAAGGTTTCTAATTAGACAATTCATAAAATAGAATGTTATACATATTTGGTATTTCTAGTATTTTAGCCAAGTTTACTACCTCAAACAGAACAGTCTCTGAGCTTACGGAAGTAAGACAATTTAAGTCAGATTCCATACTAGCATGGACTATGAAATAACATTTGCTAATGGATAATGTTATTTATGTTGACTCATAACTTAGAAGGTAATTATAGTTTTCTCAAATAAGGGAATACAACTCATAAAAACTGTCTAGTCTTGTTCTCATTTACCTTGAAATAATTTAAGATTTCCACCTGTCTGGACTATTCTTTCTGATTCCCTGAACTCACCATTATTTGTATTTTTCTCCAGAGTTGAGTTATTGGGCAGTAACCACTGGCCACAGGTGGCTCCTGAGAGCAGGAGGTGGCTATAAATAGAATCACACACTGGACTTCAATGACTTAGCATGAAACGAAGATTATAAAACATCTCATTTTATATTGGTTACATGTTGAAATAATCTTTTAGACTAATGGGCTAAATGAAATACCTTATTAAAATTACTTGCACCAATTTCATTTTACTGTTTTAAAATGTACATTTAAAAAAGTAGCTACTAGAGAATTAAAATTTATATATGTAGCCCTTTTTTTTCCTGTGTGTGCTGGTACTGGGTCTTGAACTTATGGTTTTGTGCTCTTGCTTGGCTTTTGGGGCTCAAGGCTGACACTCTACCACTTGACACACACCTCTACTTCTGTTTGTTGTTGTTGTAGTTGTTGCTAGTAAATTGGAAATATGAATTTCATGAGTTTGTTTTCCCCAGCTGGCTTTAAATATCAGTTTTCAGAGCCCAGTCTCCTGAGTAGCTAGGATTATAGACATGAGCCACCAGTAGGTAGTACTGGTTTAAATGATCTCCTTGTCAATCTCGGTCGAAGTAAAAGTGAACATAGTGGTGTATACAACTTAGCTTGTACTTTAAAAAAAAACTATTCACTAATAACAAAATATGATAAAGTAGAAAAAATAGAGTGGTAGATAACTGCTGGGCAATGAAAGATATTATTTTCCACGATCAATCAACTAAACCCAGATAGATTACGAAGCAAGGCAGCTTTTCCTTCGGAAGTATGAATATTTGTGTAGCTTGCTTTTTCCTACTTCTAATGTCTCTTTCTCTTCCCAAATCCCAAGCAGAAGCTAATAATAGAATAATTTCTGAGAATTTTATGCAAAGCACGGCTAATGGCCCATTTTGGGCGGATCTTTTGACCATGAATACACCAAAAGAAGCTGGTTCTACCTAGGTGAGGGTCAATCAATCAGACCCTGGGTAGGCCTGGAGGTGTGGAGGTGGTGGGGGTGGTGGGTGCAGGGGTCTTGGAGATTCACTGATGTTTAAAACTCAAAGTACTATTTATCCTGAAAGACTCCCACATGTCCCTTTTCTACTCAAGGTTAGAGCTCTACCACCTGAGCCACAGTGCCACTTCTGATTCTTGAGTGGTTAATTGGAGA